CCGGGTCGTTCCCTGTGTCCGGGGCAGGTAAAAAGGGGGGGGGGGGGGGGAAGGGTTTGCAGCATGTGACACTGAGGGTGTCCTTACCCATGAAATAAAGGACAAAAGCCAGTTTAGGTACTCTTGCCACTGCTCCCTCCCTAGAGCCACAGGAGCATGAGGAAGGGCTGAGGAGTCCCATGGCTGGAAGAACCACACGGGCAGTGTTCAGGGCCGTTCCCACCTTCGTGGGCCTACATCCCCCAGCCCAGCTCCCCCAGGAGCCAGCACCTGGGGAGGTGCTGCCAGATCTCAGCCTTCTGCTGAGACACCCTTCCCCAGGTTTCGGACACAGTGTTAAAGATGGCGGGACTGTGACCACTGTGGCTCTACTCGACTGGCCACCGGGTCTGCCCTGACTTCCAGTGTAACCACCAGGAAAACAGAACAAAGCTGTCAGAATCAGGTCGAGGCCGTGGCCAAGTCCAGCTACATAATCAAGGCTCAGTGCGAAGCAATGTTGTGTTGCAACCATAGGGGTCAAACACCATGAAGCTGTAGAGTTTAAATACTGGGTCCTGCCTGCTGGCATGGCCCGCAGTGCACTGAATAGCAGTGCTGGAAGCCCCACATGCACATACTTGCTATTAAAAATATTCCGGGCTGGTCCCCTAGCCTGGTGGTTAAGGGAGCTAGATCCAACATGGCCAACTGTGGTTCTAATCCCAGCCCTGGTACTTTGAAAAACACACCAGGGGTGCATCTGTGTGCAGTGCCCAAAATCCCAGAGAGGAGAATGGAGAAGAGATTACGTGACCTGCTATAAAGTACTTCCTCTCTCTCTGTCACTCAAGTGAGCACACATACACTCTGGCAATTAAAAATAATAAATGTTGGGAACCAGCAGTTAGAGTAATGGCTATGTCGCTGGACTCCCATGTAGTCAACCGCGGTTCACATCCCGGACCCGGTGGCTTAAAACTCACTCCGGGTGCATGTGCGTGCATGCCTAAGATCCCGAGAGGAGAATGGAGGAGAAGGGACTGCGGTGTGACCATTCCCCCTGGGGGGTGATTTCTCGCTTTCTGTCTCTATGTCTCTCTCTCTCTGTCTGGCGAGTGCATGCATCCTATAGCAAAAACAAAAACAAAAACCCACCTCTCCAAAAAATAAAATATAAAATAAAATAAAATAAAATAAATAAATGTTGGAACCAGCAGTTGGCATAATGGCTATGTTGCAGGACTCCCATGTAGTCGACCGTGGTTTGAGTCCCGGACCTGGTGGGTTAAACTCACACTGGGCGCATGTGTGTACATGCCCAAGATCCCAAGAGGAGAATGGAGAAGGGATCGTGGCGTGGCCATGCCCCCTGGGAGGTGATTTCGTGCTGTCTGTCTGGCAAGCACACGCGCCTTATAGCAAAAACCTCTCCCCCAAAAATAATAGTAATAATAAAAAACAAATGTTAATAAATCTAGCCCCCACAAAGCTGACAGGGTTTGCACTTCAGCCCCAGCCCCTTGAAAAACACACCAGGCGTGCATGCACACTCAGGATCCTGGTCCTTGAAAACTGGAGGGGCTGTGTACCACTGGGGTACTTTCTCTCACGTATGCACACATGCCCTTTGACATTAAAAAAAGGGGGGACTTCCAGTCAGATGGTTTGGAAGTTTAGGTGGCTGAATCCCACAGAACCAACTATGCAGCTCATAACCCAGGCTCAGCAGCTTGAAAAACAGGCCAGGCGCGTGTGTGTGCAAGCCTCAAATTCCAAGAGGAGAATGGAGGGGAAGGGAATGCAGTGTGGCCATCACATCCGGCGAATGCTTCTTGTTTTCCTACTCTCTCTCTACCAGGAACACATGCTCTCCAGCAAATTAAAAAAAAAAATCTGGTACTGGTGCCAGATGGTGGTATAGCAGTGACACAACTGGATCCACATGGGAAGGTCCAGGGTTCAAGGCCCAAGGCCTTCCCCTGCATGCTGGATACAAACGCACATGTGCCTATGAGCCAGGCTGGCCGAGGCTGGAGTGGTTCGTGGCATGAGGACCCTATTAGGGGTGACTTTCTTTCTTTCTCTGTCTCTCATGGAAAAAATAAGCTTGACAAAGGCAGTAAGAGCAGTGTGGGCGTTCTGTGTGGCTATGGCAGCTCCCAGCCGCTTCCTTCCCGGATGGCCCAGTTCCCGGTCCACGTAACAGACTTGGAGCTCACCTTCCACACTGAGTGTGGTCAGAAAAGGATTTTATGGAGTTCATGATCAAGGGGACCTCGGCTTTGGTGTCGGTTCCATCACAATGCGTCAAACAGGTGGCCCCATTACCTGAAGAACAAGGGTGAAATGACTCAGGTTATTGCCAAGGAGAACTCAGGAAGCAAGGCAAGACCACTGCCGTCCACTTGGACGCGTCATCTGTGCACAGCCTGTAAGAAAGGAAGCCGAGTGTGCTGCCCAGCCAACCCGTGCTGACCAGGACTGCGGGAGAGACCGCGCGGACTCGGAGAGAGAGCAGGGCCAGCTTTCCAGCAGGACGCCGAGACGCTCAGTGGAGAAACGAAATGGTCCCAAGTGCTGGGGCAGTTTAAGTAACGGTTTCCTCCATCTCTCTCATCATACCTGTGTGTCTCAGGACCACAATGTGACAAGTGGTGGCATCATCAGAACCCAGAATGGAGATGGAGCCTGTTTAAAAAAGAGATAAAATAAAATATCCAATAGGCTTTTGGGAGAATGCCCAATTCACTGCTTCCTAACCTACCATCCTTTGGGGAGGTCACTGCCAGCTCTCTTTGCTGAACATACAGAAGGCCCTGGGGTCCCACTTGTTGAACAGACTGACCTCTGAGGAGTCTGGCTCTTTCCTGTTTAATTAAAAAAAAATAAAATAGTGATGTAAATTAGTGAGGAGTGAATAACTAGAGAAGTGGAGAGAGCCCAAGGGTACGCTATGGGAAACACGCTGGGAAGTCTGAGGCGTGTGCCGTGGACACAAAGGCCAAAGTAAAAAGACGGCAACAGTAACCACTCCGGACAACGCAAAGAAATCAACCGTGTGCTTCTGTGCTCTTCTGTACAGTAAGGCCTTAGTACCCGTGAGGTATGGTGCGGAAGTCCTGTATCACAGTTCTTCACTGGAAAGCGTGAGACTCTGACAATTTTATAATTGTAAAGAGAATCAGGTTATATTGGAATAGTGGACGAGGTGCCTCTGCCTTAACCACCAGGCCACCACGTCCTTCCTTACTGTCCATAAACAGGACGTGAGCTCAGGAACTTCCTTGTCCCCTAATCTGGCAATCCCATTCCTGGAAATCTGTACTAAGGAAGTAACTTTAAATGACCTCGTCGCTGTGTTCGTGAGGACGGTGCACGGCTGGCAGCAGCAACAGGAGGTGTAAGTAAATTATACGGAACCACTAACCGCACAGTCATGGAAAAAGACAGTAATGAGAGAAATCATTCTGAAATGTTACAAGCAAGATACAAGAGCACGAAAAATGTTAAGAGAGCTATAAATATGTTACCAATAAAAAAATGATAAATCCTCATACATAGGCCAGCAGGTGGCGTGGAGGTTAAGGTGCTAGATCCCGCATGGCCGATTTCACAGTTCAAGTCCCAGGCCCAGTGGCTTGAAAGTCACACCTGTGCATCTGTGTGCATGCCCAAAATTCCAAGAGGAGAATGGGCTGTGGTGTGGCCATCTCTCCTGGGGGGGTTATTTCTCACCCCTCCCGCATCTGGTCAGCACACATGCCCTACAGCAAAAAAATGTTTTCTTAATTTAAAAAATGCTCATACATGGGGACCAGCAGTTAGCGAATGGCTATGTCGCTGGACTCCCACGTAGTCAACCGTGGTTCGAGTCCCAGACCCGGTGGCTTAAAACTCACACTGGGCATGTGTGCATGCATGCCCAAGATCCCGAGAGGAGAATGGAGGAGAAGGAATTGCGGCATGGCCATCCCCCCTGGGGAGTGATTTCTCGCTTTCTGTCTCTCTGTCTCTCTCTGTCTGTCTGGTGAGCGCATGCACCCTATAGCAAAAATCTCTCTCTCAAAAAAAATGCTCATACATGTAGGAAGAATTACTGGAAGGACCCTGCTAGCAGCACAGCCATGTTAGAACGAGCACAAGCGATCTCGTTGGAACTGTCATCTTTTCTCCATTCTCAAAATGTCCTATGATGAAGGTGTGTCATTATTAAAGTGGAAAAATTTTTTAAAGGATAAGCAAATTTATAAAGGATATGTTAATATGGGGTGTCAAAATGTGCCTAATTCAGGACTAGCACTTGGTGTAATGGCTATGTCGCTGAACTCCCATGTAGTTGGCTGTGGTTCAAGTCCCAGACCCGGTGGCTTAAACTCACGCTGGCCGTGTGTGTGTGTGTGTGTGCGTGCGCGCCCAAGATCCCAAAAGGATAACAGAGAAGGGATTGCGGTGTGGCCATCCCCCTGGGGGGTGATTTCTCACTTTCTGTCTGGCTCTCTCTGTCTTTCTGGAGAGCGCATGCGCCCTATATCAAAAACCTCTCAAAAACAAAACAAAACAAAACAAAACCCTAACTGAGTATCTGTAGAAATTCTTATGCAGTAAGCCTATTTAGAAAACAATCTCAGAAGCCAGCCTGTGGCATAGTGGTTAAGGCAGCGGTCTCCCACATGGCCAAGTATGTGGTTTGAGTCCTAGTCCAGCAGCTTAAAAAAACACAGTGGGCACATGTGGGCACATGTGTGCGCATGTGTGCATGTGTGCCCCAAATCCTGAGAGGAATAGACGAAACGGGATTGCAGCGTGGCCATCTCTCTGAAGGTTAATTTCTCACTTTCCCTCCCTCTCTCTCCCTCTGTCTCTCCCCAGTGAGTGCATATGCCCTATAGCAAATTCAAAACAAACAAACAAAACACCCCTCAGGTGGTTCAATTCTTTAATGAAAGTAATTAAATGTTTTCTTCACAACTGTCAAATTGATATAACACTAAAATGTGCCATAATTTCCTTATTTGCAACAAATACCTCCATTTTTACTCAAATGTGCAAGAACAGGATACGTACATATCGCCTACAGAGGAGAGGGGTCTTACGGTCTTACAGGGACTTCTTGCCTGTTCTCATGGCCAATGCTAACTGGGTTAGTGCTTACTTAATACAGTGTAAGAGATGTAATAAACAGAACAATCATCTTGATTAGTGACATGATGTTTTCTTCTTTTAATAAATTTCCGCTAACTGTAAGCAAGACAGCAATTAAACTAAGACAAGTCCCTTGATAAGAACAAACTAAAGATTAAGTGAACTGCAGTACGAAATTAAACTGGCAAAACAACCTCAGGAACTTCAAAAAGTTCAGGGAAAAATAGAATTAGGTCTGAGTTTATTTGGTGCAAAAAATATTTGAAACCCCTGCACAGGTTGTCATAAAAAACATTTTCCATGAACTTTTTAAAAAATTTTGTCAGAGGGCATGTGTGCTCACTAGACAGAGAGACCGTGAGAAAGCACCCCCTATAGGGCATGATTGCATTGCAATCCCTTCTCCACCTTTCCCTCTTTGGGATTTTAGACATGGACACACAAGCACCTGGTGTGTTTTTCAAGCTGCTGGGTCCAGGACCTAAACTGAAGTTAGCCATGTGGGATCCAGCCACCTTAACCAGCAGGCCACAGGCTGGCCTGAACTTGGACTTTTTAAAATTCACACGTGCAAGAGTAGGGGGGCAGGCAGGAAGGGGGGGGGAGGGAAAGACAGATACCCTAACAAGGGCCTGTCACACCACGATTCCCTTCTCCCAGCCTTCCAACCCATCAGGGTCTTGGGCATCCCTGCACATACCCCTGGCATATCCAGCCCAACGAGGGACCCAAACCCACGTCACATGGCTCCCCGCACCGCAGTTCAGCTCACTACCATCTGAGCAACGCCTCCGTGAACTTTCCGAAGACGCTCACAGTCAGTGACCCATGGATTTGGCTGATTGTACTACAATTCAGAACACCTCGTATTGGGAACTGCTTCTCATTTTTTTTTTCTTTTTTTGGAGAGGTTTTTGCTATAGGGCGTGTGCTCGCCAGAAAGAGACAGAGAGAGCCAGAAAGCGAGAAATCACCCCCCAGAGGGGATGGCCATGCCACAATCCCTTCTCCATTCTCGTCTTGGGATCTTGCACATGCACATGCGCCCGGCATGAGTTTAAGCCACCGGGTCCGGGACGCGAACCGCGGTCGACTGTGGGAGTCCAGCGATATAGCCATTACGCTAACTGCTGGTCCCCTGCTTCTCATTTTCATACCACTTCTCACCTCACCTTAATTCCAAATCATGTAAGGCAAGATTCAGAGTTCCCTCTTTTTTCCTTCAGTATTTCCCTGTTGCTTTGTTCCTGGAGGTAGTAGTAAAGGCAAATGTTTGTCACCTCTTTGCACAGTTGGGTGGCCACCGAGGCACCGCTACTTAGGAGAAATGAGCGATCGCTTACATAAAGGCGAAAACCATGTCTCTCTTCTGCTAGTCTCTCGTTTACCACTTCCCAAAGAAATACAAGATTCTCAGAAGAGATAACGCCACCCAACTAAATGGCATATGGCCTTGGTCTCCCACTTCATAAATAAGTTTAGTCGAACTTCTCTTTGGGAAAATTGCATGGTCCTATTTTATAAATTCATGCACTTTCTGAAATAAAATTAATCCTGGTTTTCTCTAATATCTTCTGGACACTAATATTCACTAGAAAATGTCTGGGAACAGGGCCAGACAGCGGCACAGCAGTAACCCACCTGGACCCACGTGGGAAGGTCCCCGGCCAAGTCTTGAGCCCTCCCTGTGCTTGAGATCTGGGCTGACTGCAGCTGGGAGTGGACTGGGGTGTGGGGATTCCCCGGGGAAGGCCTCTCTCTCTCATGGAGGAAATGAATAAATTAATCTTTTCCCTCAGTCCCTTGTCTTCATTTCCCAGTTCCTATTTAACGGTACTATTCTCTTAACCTAGGGGCTCGCAAACTTTTTTCTTAAAAAGGCCCAGATCAGGACCAGCAGTTAGCTTAATGCCTATGTCACTGAACTCCCATGTAGTCGACCGTGGTTCGAGTCCCAGACCCGATGGCTTAAACTCACGCAGGGCATATGTGAGTATGTGCTCAAGATCCCAGGAGGTGAATGGATAAGGGATTGCGGCGTGGTTATCCCCCCTGGGGGGTGATTTTTCGCTTTCTGTCTCTCTGTCTGTCTCTGTCTCTCTGGTGAGCCCCAGTGCCCTATAGTAAAAAATCTCTTTAAAAAAAAAAAAGGCCTAGATGGGGCCAGCAGGTGGCATGGTAGTTAAGGTTCTGGACCCCCACATGGCCGACTGTAGTTCCTTCTCACTGGGCCTGTCGCTCTCTGGTGGGCACGCATACCCTACGGCAACAATGAAAGAAAAGGGGGTGAGGGGTAGGGGGGACAGACAGCAAATATTTGGGACTTTGCAAGGCCACATGATCCCTGTCACAACTCTTTGGCTCTTTGCTACAGCATGGTACAAAGAGAGATGGATGTGGCTGGGTGTCAATAAAACTTTATAGGCAAGGCCAACATCTGAATTGCATATGCATTCACATCACAAATTCCTTTAAGCATTTAAAAATGTAAAAAATCATTCCTGGCTCATGGGCTATACCCACACAGAGTTTGGCCTGGGAGCTCTAGGTGACTGGCCAGTGTCTCAGCCAATCACTTAGGCTGTAACCTTGGGGGTGACATATCCCGACCCCTGAGGCCAACATCTGAAGTTCTTCCTTCATATAAACGGTAAAGCATAGTGGTGTGTAGGAAACTGCTAGCAGAGGCAGGTCTCAAACCTTCCGGGGGCCAGGTGGTGGTGCA